CGCTCCTCTCTCTCTCTCTCTCTCTTCGCTGTTGTCTTCTTTGCAGGTACGTGGCACCTCCCTCCACCAGCACAGCTATGGCGGACTTCTCCTTCGGTGATGGCGAACCTCAACTATGGCGCGCTTCAGCTATGGCGCCCCACTTCGGCATACCGCGGACAACAACGGCGCATGAGATAGCGGGTACCTGCTCCGATACCAATGCAATCAGACTCACTTTATTTTCCACTTCGCACTCATGCAAACAGATGGCGACTCACACTGGCGCACAGCGCCCACTCAAAGCTCAAAGATATGGAGGTCGAAAACACTGTTCAGATACAAACTCGCCTCGACAAGCTATGGCGCAGCAGCGCCTGTACCACCCAACTCTCGTCACTCTGTCCAACACCACTGTTCGCACTCGCTCACTCTGGATCACCCTGGATGTCCCACACGCATACACACACTCTCGTACTCATACACTCGCCTATCAGCTATGGCGGCTATGGCCGCTGTCCCTCTCCTAGCTATGTCTAACTATCTCCTTCAGCCCACTTCGTCTTCGGGCACTCTGCAGACCGCCTCGCACAAGTCGCTCAAGCAGCACTTCCGCATGGCTTACGCAGGAATGAATGAATGGCTGGGCGCTGCCTCTTTCCCATGCCCTTGGTGCACACAGTCCCACATGGTACTTGCTTGACTCGACTAGGACTGACTGGGACCGGGACCGCTGACTCAGCAAGGGTGGACTTCACCACTTGCCCACTTGCCTCCAGTCTGCTGTGAGCAACGTTGGAAGGGCCACTTTCGGACCTTCCGGAAGTCTGTGGACTTGGCCCTTCGACACTGTAGCAGCTACGACCTTGACCTTTCAGGACTGTAGCAGCTACGAATTTGACCTTTCAAAAGAGCTACAGCTCCGACTTCTAGAACACACTAAGACCTCTATCCTGCAGGTCTACAGATCGAACCCCTACAACCTACGGACTTAGGACAGCCTACCAACTGTTGTGAATACACAGGTCACGGGTTCAACTCTCGGGGTCGACACAGGTACTGTACACAGGTAAGGTAAGAACTAGGGATCGAGCCCTGGGATCTGCATTCACTACTGCTAACAGGTGAATACCGTTTCAGACTGGTGCGTGCGTAGTGCTAAAGTGCACAAATAAGGCTAGATTAGGATAGTCAAATTTCCAGCAAGGCAACAGATAATCCGGCAAAAACGGCACATCAGTTTGAAAAAACTCACATTGAAGGCATGCTCCAATTGTGATTTCTACTCATCCCGTGGCCCGGGCTGATGGGGCCTCTTTTTTTTTCCTTTTTTTTTTTTTAACAGAGCTTCTTGGCTCTGGCTCCTACCATTCTGGGGAGCGACAGTCCAGTTCCTTTTTCCCAGCAAGCCAATTAGGAATACATAAGAGACTCACACACGCTCCCCCCCATTATGGCTGGGAGGCCCGAGTAGACGGCATTGATTACTTCCTTGAGGAAGGATGTACCACCTCTCACCCCTGCCTAAGTTACCCTCTGGTAGCTTGTGTTAAATGGGGACCCAAAAAAAAGGGTTTACTGTGGTGAACATTTAAAGCAAGCACACACACACACACACACACACACACACACACTGAACATTTAAAGCAAGCACACACACACACACACACACACACACACACACACACACACACACACACACACAAAAGTTCGACGAAACAGTCTGGCACAGGCATGTTTAACTTTGTGGAGTCGTGTATAGGGAATATGACAACACACATCGAGTGTGGCAAGGCCTGTACGTTCGAGGGACAGTAAAAGGGGAGCTGCAAGAAGAAATAAAAGGGGTACCTCAAAGAAACCCAAAAGGACTATACAAAGGCGATACAATGGTTTTATTGTGCTTCATGCTAGGCTACCAGAGTGGGCCGGGACCACTTGCCCGGTCGGGCCAAAAAAAAAGATTTTTTTTTAATAATATATATTTTTAATTTTACTTTCTATTTTAAGTTTGTTAACGAATTTCGATGTGAGCCTGCAGCAAAAGTTGTTCAGTTTATAACATATTTTTTTTCAGATTTTTTTTTTTTTTTTTTTGGAACCTTCTTTGGTCCTTGCACGGCTGAGCCGCCCGGGCAAACAAGGTGACCTGTGCGGCCCAGCTGGTAGCCTAGGCTTCATGTTGTTTGCTATAGAGGTAAAGGTGTTTCAAATTTAGCTCTGCTCATCTTGGTGTGTGCTTCATCCAGCTCACTATTATAGAGGTGAAGCTGGTTCGATTTTGGATCTGCTCATCTGGTGGAAAAGGGGGGTGGTTGTGGTGACCATATACAGCACACGACGTTATTTTCCTTTTCTTTCCCCCTTTTTTTAAAAAAAAAAAGGGTGATGGTCGTGAGGTATTATCGTCGAACCGACCAGCCCAAGGTAAATCCGAATTTTCTTTCCCTTTTTTTATAAAAAAAGAAGGTGATTTCCATTCATCCAGTGCTTGTATCGCCTTTGCTGGTTTGTTGCTTTGCTGCCCTGCTGCCTGTTCCTCATCATGTCTCCCCTGCTGCTTGCGTTGTCATTTGGCTGCCCGGCTGCATTCCGTGTGCCCTTTGCTGCCCCGCTGCCTGTTCCTCATCATGCTCCCCTGCTGCTTGCGTTGTCATTTGGGTGCCCGGCGGCATCCCCTGTGCCCTCCGATCTATCAGCCTTCCTGTCAGTTGCTGTTTAGTACCTTGGTACCTTAGTTTCTTGCTGGCCATGATGCTGCCCTGCTGCTGCTTATGATGCTGCCCTGCTGCTTGCATTGTTGTCTGGCTGCTCCGCTGCGTTCCCTGTGCCCTCCAGTCTATGTGCTTTCCTGTCCCTTGCGTTCCCAGTCTATACGCTTTCCTGTCACTTACCGTTCAGTGCCTTGTTGCCTCAGTCCTTGCTGCCCCTAAGCTCCCCTTCTGCTTGTCTTGTAGTCGGGCTGCCCACCCGCCTCCCTACTGCCCTCACCCTACATGCTCCGCTGTTGCCCTTGGTTCTGACTGAGCCTTGTCGCCCTGCCTTTGCCTTGCGGCTTCCGATGTCATGTGCTGCTGCCGCTGGGTGTCCTCTTACAGCAGGGGTTAAAAGTAGATCATCACTCAAATTTAACATCCATATGGGAATTCTGCGAACTGTCGAGGGCTCAGCCTCCTGACGAGTCAGCACAAGTCCGACGAAACAATCTACTGTTGTGATAGTTTTTTTTTTTTTTTTTAATTTGGAATTTTGGACCATTTCTCGATTTATGCGTGTCATCCTTGCACAGGGGCCATGCTAATCTTCTCTGTATCGTTCAAATTTTAACAGATGTCCCGAAGGACTCCACTGTTATGATAGTATCATCAGGTTTTTTATTTTTATTTTGTTTTTGGTATTCATACTTTGCTTGCCTGTTGCTTGTTGTCTTTTTTTTCCCTGCCTAGTGTGTTCCCGTGTGTGCTTGGGTGTCGTTTTCCCTCCTGCCTCCCCTGCGCCCTCCATCCTATGTGTTGCCTCACTGCTTTTTATTCCTTGCTGCTTTTTGCTCGGCTGTTTCTCGTTCGCTGTCTGTTGTCTTTTCCTTGCCTTTCCTTCCGATGCCTCTTTTTCTCCGTGTTGTTCGTGCTGCCTTTTCGGAGTTGTCGGGAGTAGGTCGGGCATGAACGTAAAGGATAGTCTGTCAGGATCACTTGGTCGAACGGGTAGCAGCGACCAACGAGCCTAGCTCAGTCCATACAGTGCGGCGTACACCCACCAACTGTTGAAATACAGACCGAAGTTCGAATCCAGACACAATCAGCTGACCAGAATAAAATACTTCTGAGTTACCTGGGGCTGCTCAGCTCAACAATGATATCTCGAGCCCAACGTCCGTTAAAAAAAAAAAAAAAAAGAATGGGTACCGCCGCAGCGGTGAATACAATCAGATGGATGGCGGATCCCAACGCCCGTTTATACAGCGCCATAGCATAGTATGCTTTAAAGTTTAAACCACCACTACCTCTGAGCCTGTTTTTGCCGACCCTGGGTTCCATTTTGTTTCTTTTCTGGTACCCTCCTGGGAAAAAAAAAAAAAAAAAGCACAACCAGACTTTCAAAAAACGACCCGCTCACAGCCACACAAAAAAAAAAACACCCCTCTGGACGTGATACCAGGTAGATACCTAGCCCAAAGTCGTTTTGGGAGTATGCCCTCAGTGAGGGCGTTACGGCAAGGGTGTCAGGTCTACGGAAGAAGGAAAAGGACAAAAAAACTTGAAACCGAACTTGAAAGCGGGTCCATACATTCTGCGAAGTAATAGTGTGGGCACGCCCTCCTCCGCAAACTGTCAGCAGCCTGTGGACCGCGTCGTGCCTCCCTGGTGGGGCACCAAAACTAAGGAAAGAAAGAAAAAAAAACACACACACAAACAATGAAAACCTGAAACTGGCCACTATAGCGGTTAGATACGAACATGTGAGTTTTGGTGTGACCACAACTTGGTGTCCGGTCTTCCCCGACATGATCTTTTGTTTTTCTTTTTGTTCTTTTCGAAGGGGCCCACAAGGCCCAACTGCCGAGCCTCGTCCAGTTTTCCCATTTTTCCCAAGAGTGACAGAGGTAATGGTGGTTTAAGTAAATTATTTCTATTAATCTTAGCGATGTTTAACTACTAGAGTAGCATCAGTAGTAATTTAGTAATGTTATTATGTAATAATAAAGTATTTTTACCGACAATAATCACACTGCTGACGGCAATGACAAAGAGGGGGATAATGAGGACGGACAAGGGCGACAAACAGAGATGACGAAAAGACATGAGCCAGCGCAGCAGCAACAGCAGAAACATTGATTCCTTCCAATACCTTATAGTACAAAATCAGAGCCAGATACATCTTGGAGAACAAAACCGGAGCCAAGTACATCTTTGAGAGCTGTACCGAACATGGGAGAAGCAATTTAAATTTTGAAAGCATTGGAAGAAGGTAAAAAAAAAAAAAAAAAGAGAATGGATTGCAAGAAGAAAATGAGAGAATACCTGGACAGTGGTAAGAGGGGCAGATCCCGTGCACACCGACGTGATGAAATTAAGTGCCAAAGCAACAAGATTAACTGTAAGCTGAAATTGTATGAACTTCTGGATGTTCGCATAAACCGCACGTCCCCATTTCGCCACCTGCAAAGACGGGTACAAGCTCGAAATCAATAGACACTCCATAGCAAAATGCACAAGGCCATTTCACCTCAACCAATTTCTCTGTCTTTGATTTCTCCTGCCTCTCTCTCTCTCTCTCTCTCTCTCTCTCTC